TTTTTGTATATTTTTACAAGTTTGGGCATTCATTAGCCCGTGCCACTGTTTCCTCTTGCGTGTGAATGCAATTGGGTCTATCAGATATGCAAACATACAAAATTAGCGCAAATCTTAGCCCGTACTTGGTGTAGCGTGAACACTACTCATGTCAAGTCAAGTTAATTAGCCATCTCAGCTCACCTTGGTGTCAAGCCCTGCTAGTACTATATAGTCTGAATGAAATACATGTTTTTAAATATTTTGACCAGACACCTCCTAAAGACAAAGCAACTACTATTTTTGAAACTATTGTATTTTTGAAAAGTTGGAACTTGATGAAAATAGTTGCATCTTTGCAGAACTAATGACCTAGAACATAATATTTGGCCTATGCATAGTATTGTTAAAGCAAGTCTGTAGAGAAAGGACCAGAACAAATTCAGACCGGTTTCTGGTTCACACAAAATGTACTTGCCCACGCAACATAATAGAATAGAAGCAGTACATACCTATCCGGGGAAAAGTATCTTACATTGAGTGTACTTGTGGTTACTTGCAAGTGACCCAACAATAACCTTTGAGTTTGTAATTTATATCCATGATGTATTTTCAAAAGATGGCCATGAAGACACCTGAAAAGAACTTTAAAATAATACACAAATTACATTGCATGCAGTTTCAAATTGTACCAAATCCTTAAAAACTCTCTGGGACTGGTACAATCAGAACTAAAGATGCACTTTGAGATCATACCTTTATTCGAAATTATTGAGCTATTTGGTGTATGAAATATTTGTTGGGTTACATTTTGATGCGAATTTTTTAAACTTGACCAAGAATTGCTGGAGTTGTGCTAAAAACAAGACGTTAACTTGATTTTTTTCCAATATTGATAAACACGAGAAACAATAATCATAGTTATTAAATATTGTAATATTTTGATGATACACCTCTCCGAAGTGTGTTGGAACCCATTTTCAAGCTGAGATACTGAGGCAGCCATTGTCTAGTTTACAACACATCGCATCATGACTTAGTTCCTAACATTTTTGACTTCATAAGTACCACTTGCTTCTTATCATTAATGTCACAAATGGTCTTCACAATGCCCTCGTCATTTTATTTTAGTGTGTACAGGAGATGTTTCAGTAAGGAATTGTTATGCATATCAAAAATCCTTTATTGGAACAGAACATCACCAAAAACAACGTTGCCATGTTTCAAGGCGTACAACGAATTGGGAACAAAAGAAATCGGCCGATCAAAACGACCCGCGTCCTTGAGAATCTAGTCTTATCGCCTTTGCCTTTCAGTGAAAAAAGGTCAAGGGCAAAAATAGGATAGGTTATTTATTAGAAGTGCACGCAAAACCAAAATTTGGAAAGTGAATCACTCCGGCGGCGAAAAATCAGTGATACCTGCAATAACCACAGTCCCTGTGTAATAACCAATGGGTGAGAGACTATTTACCAAATCCAAAATTTAGCGTGAATGCCTTTCCAAACGAAAAATGTTGAGGTAAAAAAAAAAAAAAAAATAAAAAAGAAATATTTTCGCCCAATCATCCATTTTTTTATTCAGCCCAGCAATAATATAGCTTATATATTAGTGGCACACGGGAACCAAAATTTGGGACGTGAATGACTTGGACAACAATCATAACCAACAGGTGAGAAACTACCGTGGCGATAGCTACACCAATTATATTTTGATTTTAGTAATCGAGGGTAAAAACCGTGTTTATGCAATGAGAAAGTGCAGATTTTGAAAGTACTTTAGTGCAAATACGCCTATCACGGTTAACGCAATTTAATGCGAGTAAATTTCCCTACTAATTTCCCTAGTTGCATGTGGTGTCCAATATGGCGACCAAGGGCAAAAACATGGTTATGCAAATTAGCTTTAGTTGAAAATTTGAATTTTCTCGGCGATAGCTACGGTAAAAACTCGATTAATTCACGGTAGTAAAAATAATTATTTTTTCAAGTGCGCGAATTAATAATGTAAAAACCGAAATTATTGGTATTGGTATTAGTACTTTTAGATTGATTCAAAACAGAGGTTTTCATAAATTTATTAGTGATTTGTTTTGTTTTCCAATGAACACGATGACAGGACGTTGTTTTAGTGCCTCTGAGACTCAAGGCTAGGGACATTTATGGCGTATAGTCGGCCAGAGAACACGCACTGCGTCAAGGACCACGCACCATGTTACACTTGAAATGGAACAGTGAAATGGCAAAGGTCACTCTGTACACATACAAACAATGAACACGTGGCTACAAAGTAGCCGTCTGGCTGCACTGCCACTGGCAGTACTGTCAGACACAAATTATTAATTGTTTAATAATTAAGGTCGTCGGCAGTGAAGCCGTCAAACCAATCACCATCTTCGTCGTCGTCGTCGTTTAAAAGCAGATCGGCAATGAGTTCTGCTATTTCAGTGTTGCTTCGGATAAGGTGGTCTTCTGCCCCGTTGATTGCATTTTTGTAGCCATGTGTTCATTGCTTACATGATTGTTTTTTTTCTGTCAAGCACTTTCATCTACCGGATTCGGCTGATACCCCACTCTGGGCGATCTTATGGAGGATTCGATTTTTTTTTAGAAAAATGTGGACCGAAAGATCGCCCAGGCAATGTTATGGCAGATATTAAGAAGCCCATCTTGTTTGTGAAAATAACCCTACGTTGATAAAAATGGTCTCAGAAAATGTTTAGAAAAAATAATTTTTTCGCGTTAACCAAATATAATCATGTAAAGTATAAATTCAAAGTGTTTTAATACAGAGAGGTCGCATTTTACGTGAACAAGAACATGCACTAAGAAGGAAAAGCCAGCCAAAGTCGAAACGGGGTGCATCATGAACATGACACAACACACGCTGCAACAACTGAGTGATCAGCGACATCATTTTGAGACGCAATTGAACTTCAAGTACTTCTTTGCGAAACTTGCTGCGCGGCGATGCTGACATCAAGTGTGTGTTGACCGAAGTTTGACCCCAAGTCACGCACTGAACTAGCGCGTTACCTTAGCAACCTTTTTCATTCGTGCCCTGCGCGTCAATCTAGTAAAATTGTTATTATATCCGACGGTACTGTATCCAACTCTGCACTGGCTTTGAATATATCAACGTTGTTTACTTAGTGCACTGCTTTTCTAATTACGCAAACTTGATTACAATATTGTACCGGCTCTGAATATTTCAACTTCGTAATGTATTGCTTTCATGCTATGATAATTAGTTTTTTTTTACTATTGTTAGGGCACTGACCCGGGGTATTGGGTCTGTGAATATTTCAAAATCACCGACTTGATAATGCGTTGCATTCGTAATAATTACGCAAACATAAACATATCATACGTCAAATTAAATTTTACTATAATATAATATAATAAACTTATTAATAGGATACAATTTTAAACATGTTTTTGAACGGCGTGAATTAAAAGAATACATTTAAAAATTAGCGTTCGAAAATAAAATGGGTGCGCGAATAGGGACCGCGAATTAATCGAGTTTTTACGGTACGTACATTTGAACCAAAATGTTATCGGCAAAACTCAGAATATGACTGTGACAGCTACTGAAACGTAATTGAAGGCAAATGAACACGTCAAGCGAAAAAAAGGCCTTTTTTAGTCGTGGCGTAAAATGGAGGCATATACCATTGTTGACTCTTGAGGCGAATGGAAATCAATTGATTTGAGGGTGTCACAATAAGCGAGGGAGCAAATCATTTTTATGCTACAAAAAAATGAAGACCTTGAACATACTTTTTGGACTTTAGTACAAGGTCATTTTTGTTTGATTACCTAAAGTTTTTAGGTTTATGTGCTGCAAGTTTCAGAGCACATACCTAAGCGACCATCGCTCAGCAAATAATGAAGCAAAGGAATTTCCGACGTTGAAATCGCGAAACTTTTCCTTTTTAAGCAAACTGGGAAGTTTGAATTACTAAACGAAGTACAGGACGAAGAAGATGAAAGAACCAACATATACCAAAAATTATATCTCAAAAGTGAATATTTGTGGTGTATTTTAAGTCTAACCGGATCCGAAGTGGGAATTTGTTAGTACTCTAAATATCCAAACATATTTTAGTACAAGGTAGTAATAATATCATTTGCTGAAAATTTCATTCAATTTGGTTGAGAAATAGCGAAGTTATACAAGATTATAATTGTTTTTTGTCATACAATTATTGCCACTGTCTTCTGTATTCTTCAATGGTCAATTGTGCAAATTAGTGTCTGAAAATTAATTGAATCTTAAAAGAATCTGTAACTGCTGTAACTTTTCAACAAGACCTCTGAATTAGATTGTGTAAAGTGCACTGTACTGCTCTTGTAGTGAGCTGTAAAATGCCACTATTTACACTGCAGTAGTGTACATAAATAATTTCCCCCTGGAAACCCTATTTCTATTGTCTTTGTATGAAACAAGTTTTCACAAAATTTGTCTGTACATGACCAAGATCTGGTTCCGGAATGATAGAAATGGTTTGTGAAAATTTATACGACAGACTATCAATAGTCGCACCACAGTGATGTTTACAGCAGAAATATATCCATGATATGCATCACAATGGTGTACTTAGTGAATGACATGTGTTAATTTACTATTCTTATTGCAGTAGTCTAATTTGATAGACTATTCACACCACAACCACAGTGTAACTAACATAAACTGGTCACATGCAGCATAGTAAACAACAATAATAGATCCACTGCATTAAATTTTCATAAAAAACATTCATGCTTTAATGAAGTTCACCGTAATTATGCTCCAGTCCATGTCGACCCCGGCCTCTCCCACCTCTGGCAATACAGAACAAATGTGGGGCATTATATGGGGTTTACCGCCAAACTGTGTCCGTGGAGGTGGGGTAATAGCAGTGTTTCGTGTCCCGTCATCGCTATCTGCGCATGCGTATACGTTCATTGAGTACTCTGCTGATAGCAAGCATGGCGGACAGTGGGGATCGGTGGGGGAAATGTGGGGGGTTTGGTTTGGGTGGGGATTTGCCTATCCTTCTTGCCCCAGGAGGTGGGGCATTTGGCAAATTTTACAACAATAATTTCCAAATCCCCCACTAAACCCCTGGTGGGAGGGTGGTTGACATTGACTGGAGCATTAATTACTGTAATTACAAAAACTGACTGGCCTGGGTGGTACGGGCTGAATCGGTAAATTTGACTTTTTTTTTTTAATCCCCCAACCCCCGGGATCTGATCATGCGTCAAATACCCAAGGGGAGTGAACCTCTACTGTCAATTTAATTAGTAGACGCTGGTAAATTTAACAACATACGGGAACGTCATGCCATTCAATCCCCAATATTGGATAGTTTTTGTTGTCAAATTCCCCCCGCTGTCCCGTATTTGAACACTTGTATGGTCGCGATACTGAGTCCTAGTACAGCCAGCGTGTGCACAAATCGCGTCACGTGTTTATAAATCGAGTCGTCCTCTTGTGCACAAAAAACCGCCACGTGAACAATGTGTTATTGAGATGGCGTTTACCACGTGACGCATAGCTTTTCTTATTTTGAATCGAGTTCTGCTGTTGCATTTTTAACGCACGTTACTGTAAGTTCACATTCTCACCTTTTCCTGCATTGGAGGCTGCCATCTTGAAAATCACGATCCGGTTCGGAAATGTCCGACTTTTACCGAGGTGAATCAACATATTAAATTAATATTTAACTCTTTTTCCGAGACCTTCCTTACACTTGATTGCTTCATGGAGTACGAGCAAAAATATTTTATTTGTTTGTAAACGTACTAAGATGTTTATGAGATACAATTTCCGTATTCAAGCTAGTAATTTTAGTTTTTCTTCTATTTGAACGAGGATGAATAAAGTTCCCAATGTTGACATTTGAGGATAATGTATTCAAACATATTCGATAATTGGCCAATCACAGGCTTCGTTACAGGTGGCTTCGGTAAGGTAATTCCCCTATTTTTTTTGTTTGGTGGCCATGTTGGATTTTCCTGCTGATATTAGTGTTTTCTCGAAATTTGCCCCCAATTCTTGACAATCGTGCGGTTGTACCGTAATTTTAGTTCAATGAAGGTGAGTAACGTTTATCAAAAAATATAATTATTTTATTTTTTTCTAGAATTGACATCCATACTTTGTAAAATTTCAGAAGCAAACACGAGGCGGTAAAATCGAAAGCACGTCTTTCATAAGAGTTCCCTCTGCAAATACCACCACTCTACCATTGACCGACAAAGCTGTTATTATACCAACATTTATACATCTCTTCATACAATAATTGATTTGTGACGTATTTTCGGTAAAAATGTAACTGCCGATCCTATTAGTTTTAAACTATTTAAGCGTTTTTCAACGTTAGAATAACATACGTCGAGGTCTCTTTGTCTAATAGTAAACCTGTGTGTACACAACGTACGATACGTTTTACGTAAAAGAACAATCTCGTCAACGTGTATTCATAAGACTATTTTGCAATTTTTATTTTTCTTGCATAATTACCGCATTGTTGTGACGCGTCAAATGTGCACCTGGAAAATATTGGCTCTTTGCCGTGGCTCTTTAGTCTGATCGTTTGCTGTGGACGCAGTTGTAGATAAGTGTTTTTCGTGGTTAACAGTGAGGGCTTCCCCATACCCAAGAATTGTCAATCAGAAATGTTGCATGTGGTATTGACCTACTATCCATCTTGAATGTCCGTCTTGATTACTGTTTATTCCGATTTTTTTATTCACGACTTAGGAACTGTAATCATTAAAATAATTAAAAAGATTGTCATTTTTTTTTGCTGCTGAAAAAAAGTGTTAGTAATAGTATGAATTTAGTAATAGTATGAATAAATATTGACATATTTTAGGGTGCATAAAAATGAATATTATGTGTGTTATGCAAAATTATTATTTCCTAAATTTGTAAAGTAAATATTAAAAATCAATTTATTTATTGAAGGGGTGTATTCATTATGTTTACCCACAGAAAGGGACTATGTGTTGACCAACCAATGGACAAGGTCTCAACCTTTGAACAATCGTTTCTTTCTACTGAATAAAAATGCATGTGTCAAACTGAATTGACCTTTTTAGCTGTTACAGGTTTGCTGTTTTTTTAAAAACAACCAAGCTTTGTTTTAAAAATTAGGTTTTAAATTTAAGTGATAACTACATGTACTGGTATTTTAGTGGATTTTTACAAATCTGATCAATCATCATTAGCATTTGTGGTAATGTGTTACAATAATAGAATATATTATTTATCTCATTTCTTTGTGTTTTTTAGGATTTACCATTAACTGAGCACAATCTGAAAATGTTTGGCGGATTATGTGAAAATAAATCACATGTAGAAATCTTGTTAGTGATATCTTTGAGTGGTTCAGAGAAATATGCACAGTCCTTCTACAAAATCAAAATTAATTTCCTGTCTTAAGGGTGAGCCAAGTGCTCAAATTTAAAACATAGATATTTCCAGTTGTTTCCATCACAGTGAGAGAGACAAATACATGTAGGAGCAGTATGTGTGTCTGAACTAATTTTTGAGTTGTGTGCATTTTAACAACCACAACCTTGTTCTACAAAAAGTATTGAAAGTTGAACACTCATAAGGAAAGTACAAAGAAAGGTATTACAAAAGTTGGAATAGTTCTTATGCAAGTATTACCAACAAATAAATGTTGTAAAATTGGTTTAATATTATTTTTAATTTTAATTTAA